GTAGAATTGCTTTACTGGCAGAAACGAAGATTTAAGCACGGATAACCTAAGAACAATTAACAATATAACTCTCTTTAGGTTAACATGAATTGAAATAAATGCAGATTTTAATAGTACAAGATATTAACATGAAGAAAATAGAACTCTTTCACTGTCTAAAACGAAGATTTAAGTATGAATAACCTAACTAAGTTAATAAGAAAATCGCGTCCAGATAATTCTCCTTAATTTAACATAAAAGGAAGTAGAATTGCCTTACTGTCTGAGACGGAGATTTAATCACGGTTGAGCAATTAACAATATAACTCTCTTTAGGTTAACATGAATTAAAATAAATGCAGATTTTAATAGTACAAGATTTAACAGTAAAAAAGAACTCTTTCACTGTCTGAAACGAAGATTTAAGTATGAATAACCTAAATTAATAAGAAAATCGCGTTCATATAATTCTCTTTAATTTAACATAAAAGGAAGTAGAATTGCTTTCCTGTCTGAAACGAAGATTTAAGCACGGATAACCTATGAACAATTGACAATGTAACTCTCTTTAGGTTAACATGAATAGAAATAAATGCAGATTTTAATAGTATAAGATGTTAAAATGAAGAAAATAGAACTCTTTCACTGTCTGAAACGGAGATTTAAGTATGAATTACCTATGAACAATAAGATATCATTAGGTATTCAAAGCAATTATCTCAGTTACAGTCTGAATTCAAAACAATTTATAAGTGAAGCAAATTTAGTAATTTAAATCGAATCTATACTAAATGAAATGAAAATTGCTTATTTATTTAAAATAATTTTACTACTTCCCCCGAAATTTCTCTCGGAATTCAAAATATCTGTCATACAAAACTAAGAAAGTCTTTTTGTTATAAACTGAAAATAATGCATAATAAATAATGTAAAGTTAAATTGCCTTGTTGTATATTCGAATGATATTTGAATTCAGTCATGAGGTATTTGAGGAGTTATTTGTATTGGAATGAATCATAATATTATTATGCGTTAAAAGATCTAGTTATTTAATTTAATGACGATTTCATACATTCAAATATCTAAGTTTCTAAAAGGAGCAACGCATGTTATGCAGCAGGAAAAGAAATAAATCACTTTTTTCAATTAGAATCATATGAAAATATCTTATAAAATACGTTTCTGAAGTTTCATAAGATTTTTAGGTGCAAATATCAGGTTTTTTATTAGAAATAAAAACTTGTAATTAAATCTTGTAACGAAATCTTCTCTTAAATCTTTATAAAATCTTCATGAAATCTATCTAAATGTAATAAAATCTTCTATTATTTGTAAATTAAAGAACAAATTATTTTTAACTGTACAACTTTAAGGCAACATTTTTCACTGTTTTGAAAGCACCTCTACACCGATTAAAATAACTTTGGAAATTTAAAAAAAATTTTTTTTACATTTAAGGCTTTTTGTTAAGGTTAAATTTTTTTTTACTTTCTTACATATTTTTGCATTTAAGGTACGTATACTTTTGATTAAACGTGGGTGTTAAACATAAATTTTTCCTCAGCAAATTTAAACTTTCAAGATTTTTTTTGTGAGAACTCTAACAACAGAAAGAGCTTAATTGCTTTAGTGAATAACTATGTAGTGAAAAACCATACCTATTGAAAAGATCTGTGTTAGTAGACGTAAACTATAAGAAATAGATTTTAAAAAAGTAAGACTTGATGTGTTATGTACGGTGATTGAAATATCTGTTCAAGAATTCAGATTTTCAAGGCCGAATATTGTTTTATTTTTAGAAGCAAATATTTTGTGCTAAATATAATTAAATTATTAAGCAGATAATTGTATAATATGCAGATAACTGCTAAGCAGATAATTACATTATATTCACCAAAAATTACAAAATGAGGTTATTGTACTGAAAGAAATACATAAACGTAAGATTTAAATAGATTTCCTCAAGCATTAGATTTGTTCCTATCGAAATTGAAAACAAAATAACTAAATAAAATCACCCGTAACAGATACTTCAATTATTTCTGTGACTGGGCTAATTATTTCTGTGACTTTTCATTTTGTTGCAGACTTTTATTGCTTTTATTATTGAAAGGCATATCATTCAATATAAATTGGAAACAACTGAATTTAATAAAAGTTTTGTTATCATACTTGATAATAATAAATTAAGGGAATCAAATTTTCGAGCCCTTTCTAGACTTAATTATTGAGACTATGTTTTGCAAATTGCTGGTACTTCCCATATTCAGTGGATGAGAAATCTGAGTTTGTCGAAGAAAAAAGTATGTTTATTCAAAGAATTTATCATTATTAATATTATATTGTATTGTACGTCGTTACTCAGAGTCATAGCGATCAACCTAAAATATATCATAAAAATTCACAGAAAATAATTTTTTTAACTGTAAAATAATTTTTGCGTTGTATAGTATTTTTTACAACAGCCTAAATAATTAAAAGTTTAATTTTCTTAAGTACTAATATAAAACTTTTTTTCTTAATGCATAATCAAAAATAAAAACATTAATTTAGTTACTCCTAGATAAAAGCTATTTATCTTTTCAGATTTAAGGCAGAAATATATGTTAATTATTATAAACTTATAATATCACCAAATTAAAAAAAACTGCGAAGGAATCTTGAGGAATTAGCACTGTCTCAATTAATGTCTCTCTTTGTCTTATCTCTCCTTCATCATCCCTTTTTTTCTCCGTCACGGCTGAAAAAAAACTTAGTTGCCTTAGTAAACTTGGAGGCCGAAACATTTCACGATTCAGGTTTTCTTTCACGTAGAGCGTTAAAATTAGTAATTACCTTGAAGTCTATATCCTCATTCACTGCCGCAGCTGGTACCGAACCTAAAACGCCAATATGCCTGGTGAATACTTTGACCATGAGCAAATGAGCTCTGCCCATGACTTTATTGTGTTAATTATGATATATCACGAGCAAGTGATAATTTGTTCAATGAAGCAGTTATAAAAATATATCCTTTACCAAAACTTAGTATTACATGGTTGGTATGACGGTCAATACATTGCATGCCTCCTATGCGATGAAATACAGTCCGTAAGACGCCTAGGCATGCTGAGTATCAAATTATCGAATTGATCTCAGATAATTTCCTGATAGATAGATTCCTGAAGATAATTTCTCTCGGCAATTAATTCTCTCCGAAGTTCTGGTACACAGGTTGTAGGTGTTTGACGACTGAAACTCGTCGACTAAGCATGCCCACACATGCTCTTGCGAATTCAAGTCAGGGGAGAATGCTGGCCATTCCATTCGGGTGATATTCTCAGATTGAAGGTATTCGCTTACGTTGTTTGCTCTGTGTGGGTGGGTGTTGTCATTCGTAAACACAACTTCTGCGCCCATGGTACCCCTAAACAAACTTACAGATTGTTCTAGTTAAGACATTATTCTGAAACAATCTGTACGGATAACTGCGTTAAATATAATGCTGTGTTCTGGATAAATTTGGCCTGACATGGCTCCGATTAGAACATGCAGATGTGTTCCGGAGCCTCTTGGTGATAACAAGTGCCTGGCGTTCTCCATATGAAAGTCCGACATGAATCAGACTGCAAGCTAAACCTACACTCGTCGAAAAACATCATACAAGCCATGTGACGATGTCAGGCATGCATGTTCTCTACTCCAGGCTTATCACTGGTGACAATGAGTTGACCTGAGTGGAACACATCTGATAATATATTCCAATATTCCAATATATTCCAACATTCCAATATATTCCAATATTCCAATATATTCCAATATTCCAATATTCCAATATATTCCAATATTCCAATATATTCCAATATTCCAATATATTCCAATATTCTAATATATTCCAATATTCCAATATATTCCAATACTCCAATATATTCCAATACTCCAATATATTCCAATATTCCAATATATTCCAATATTCCAATATATTCTAATATTTTCCAAACATCTATACACGGTTTGCTTTGAAACTGTAGTACCCGTGTTTGCAGACATTCGGCGAGGCAGGTCGGATGTTGTAATCCGTCTGCCTCTTTTTGCAGTTACTGTCAAATATCAATCTTCATTCAGCGTTGTAACTCATTTTAACGTCTACTGACATTTCCATCATCTTGATTCCAATCGTTGCTAAAGCCTAGAGATGACACTTTTGATAATTCCAAGTTCCTCTGATACTTTGAGTACACCGCATTCCAGGTAGCCGATTATTCTACCACGTGAAATATCATTCACATGTATCCCTGTGTCATAACTATTTGGTTAAGACACTGAGGGGCTTGCAGAACGTTTGTGAACAATTTCACTTCTTTGCCACCATTCTCCTATACCCTTCTCAAATACTCTCGTCATTGTGCCGTATTATCAGTGTCCTCTGGTGGCTTCATGCAATTTCCATATTATTCTTTAAGATGTGAGTGATATTTTTACAGGTGAAATGCTTTTTAAAATTTATTTTTCCGTTAAAATTTTCACTTAATGTGAAAAGAAAGATTTAGGCTAAATCTACAATCTACTTCTAAGCTAAGCTAACCAATCCAATAGAGCATTTGTGGTCCTACTTGGAAAACCAAATTCGTGCTACCACGCTACCCCCTCGCAATGTGAGGGAATTGCAGGACCAGTTGGTGAGCGCTTGGTATCAGATACCTCAGAGTACCTATCAGCACTTTGTGGAATCAATGCCACGGCGGGTGCTAGCAGTTTTAAGGGCTAAAGGTGGTCCTACATGTTATTAGCAGGGTGGTCATAATGTAATGGCTCTTCGGTGTATATATATATATAGATTAGATCCTCAACCAACGTTCACGGCCTAGTTCTACGAATGCCCACTGTGTACTTCTGAGCACTGGTTTCTGGGTTGGAAACCACTGGATTAGATCATTATTCTACTTTGAATACTAGTATGTTTATTAATTTTATTAATAATTTATTTAATGATTATATACATTCCTACTCTTTGAAATAAGTTGAGGAGGAAAATATATTACCTGGTGCTCCAAACATTTCAACTGTTTTTCCTTGTAGTTCTTTCAGAAACCAAGGTGTCAAGTGAATGTATTGACCCGGTTCACCACAGCCTCCTGCTTGCAATGTATATGGTGTATCATTATATTCAGGATTAGGTGTATCCACTCGTACGTGGGCATTGCTAAAAAAATTTCCTGGTTGGGCTTCATACTCTGGTTTTGTTGTCCATGTTGGAGGTACAACAATGATCACTTCTTTGAAGAATAAGTTGTTCTTTGTGGAATTGTAAAGGAAAGTGGATGCTCTTGAAAACAAGACCTAATGAGATACAATTAATATTTAATTAAACATTAAATGAAACAATCTATATAAATTACTGAAAGCAGAAGTTAAATTTTAGTCTTCTGCAGTTTTCACAAAAATATAATTTTTATATTGTAATTGACAAAATAATAATGATTTTTTCCATGAATGCTATTTTCTTTAAGGTATCCAAAATAAAAAAAGCCGTAGCAGAAGACCCTTTCATTTGTTGCTCTAAATATTAATTTACTGTCGGCATTAAACAGCCTATCTTGGCATCCCTGTTTGCCTGTTGTTGGATTATTGGCATCCCTGTAGGCTATCAATTTTGAACTCCATAGCCTTGTAATTTTAAATCAAATCCTGAGGAAAAGGAAAAGTTCTAGATTAAGAAATTCGGACAAAATCACCCTGGTGGAGGTCTTTTTCATGAAACTCACTAGTATTTGCGTTACATGGAAAATTAAAACTTTTCAAGGTTAACCTGATGGCAATGGAATTCTAACACATAATCCGTCTACCACTGAGAATTTTTTACATTAGCATTGTGGTCGGTGTGAGTTGAGAACAGTATACGGATCGACTTTTCATCTAAGGGATTCGAGCTTGAGGATACCCATTCGAAATATCATTCGCGCATAGCAATTTTTTTTTTCATTTAAATTTTTTAATGTTAATTCTATAATTTATTGACGAAAAAAAGACTCTTTGTTAGTTATGTTAATTATGACCCACTTTACATTTTTTGAAATTAATTTTAATTTATGAGTATTTCTTGGTACTTAGAAAGTAACAAAGTTAATTTAGATCGGTGAGAATGTAGTAATTCACTAAAAAGCAATGATAAAAATGAAAATTATTGGAACCATGATTTATAAGATCAAATGAAATTAAAAAAAAGTCTATTATCACTAATGGTATTGTACTTAACTGCATAACCTAATTCTTTGATAAGAAATACCCTCTTATTTTATTTCTTTTTTATTGCAAATTATGCTTCTAATATTATTATTTTACATTTTTTTATAACAAGAATTGCTCCAATTCATTATTTTTGTGCTGCGTTATTTCGATCTAAGAGATTTATTATTAATTTTATAAATTGATCATTGGAATTTTTCTGTAAAAGAAAGTTTAATTTTCTTCTAAACTCATACTAATAATCTATTATAACTATTAATACTGATAATCTTTTTAACTAATGACTATTGCTGAATAAGAAATCTAAATTGAATTAACTATTTTAATTGAATTGACTAGAAAGATTAAATTGACTATTCCTTTGAAAAAGATAAAGGCAAAATGTGATCCAAAGCAAAGCAAATAAAATATAATGATTTCGCTTTTGTGCAAAATATTTTAGTGTAATAAATAATTTTTTTGTATTATTTATATAGTATTATTAAAACTAACTTTGAGGTTTAAAAGCTTTTTAAAACAATCAAGAAAACCAAGACTGTTGAGATAATTTAAGCAGTTTAATTAAGACATTTATTTTGCTTGTTCTTTAACGCTAAATGAAAAAGATTCCATTCTTAATTGTAATTTTTTTATTCCACGGTAGGATTAAAAATTCCGTGAAAATGCAATCTTGAAAAGCAATTATAAAAAATTGCTGTTTTATTCTTTAGTTAACTCATTAGTTAATGTATAAATTGTAGATTTTCTCATGCACTGTTTTTGGATTTTTATATTTCTGTTTTCAGTCTGAACCATAATTTCCCACATATCTTTTTTTTCCTTTTGACGAATTATATTTAAGATTTATCAAGCAGCCAAGAATAATCTAATTTTTTTTAACCATTTGCTTTATGCCCTCGCTTTTAAAGGGTTGTGCGAGTATGACTGACTTTATCAGATAAATGAAGCCTATTTGTCAACTCCTGACATATTTGAGAAGATAATTCTTTGGTGGAACTTTATAAATGAGTGACTTCGTTTTAAAAAAAGATCAGCTTATTTTTTTAAAAAGAAAAAGCTTTTCCTAACTAGATTAGAGACATTTGCTATTTACTAGATAAAATAGGCTTGTCAGTGTTTGGAAGATGGATATTTTTTACGTTTCTTCAAACATTTCCGTGGATTTAGCCAATTTTAAAATAAAATGCTTCAAATCAAGTTTAGTTCCCCTAAGCTAAAAAGTTTGAAATTTAATAATGCGAACAATAAGCGCATTTTTATACTGTAAAAAATACATACTTAAATTTCCTAAAACTCTCTTTGTTTCTAAGGAGCACCAAAATTATTTTCAAAATGAAGTTCAAAATTATATATTCATTTCAAACAAGTAATTGTTACAAGCAAATTCATTGAATGAACTGTGGTTTGACATTTACGCCACTTTCATAATTTGCATCATCATCATCATAGTTGACCAGACAGCCCAGTGAGGGCCAATGCCTTCCTCTGAAGACTTTCCCATAACGACTTCCGATTTTTCTTTGATCTCCATTACTTTTGTTTAATTGTAAAAAAATTGGACTCCACCGAGTCAGCCCATCTCAACCGCGGCCTTCCCCTCTTTTTTGTTCGAGCTGGTCTAAAAAGCAATATCTTTTTAACTGTTTTGTCATCACTCATTCGAATCACGTGGGCCACCCAATGCATTCTATTTAATTTTGTGTATTTTATAATATCAGGTTATTTATAAATCTTGTACAGTTCAAAGTTAAATCTCCTTTTCCAGTTATTGTTTTCATTTTTATATACTCCGAAAAATCTTTCTCTCAAATTTCAATTTAAGTAATTAGCAAAATTTTTAATTTTCATAATTAGAGCAGAGAGCTAAATATAGGCAAACACAAGCAGTTATAAATATTGGTTACAAACTCACAATAGTTATAGCTTAAAAAGTTTTATTTCATGTGACGATAGCAGAAGAGCCATGGAAAAAAAATCAATATTTTATAATGTTAATAACAAGTGATACCTCAGATTACCTCTATGTAAAAACTAAAAAAGTTCTTTTATATAATTTTTTTGTAATTCAGTTATATAAACTTTATGCACTTTTTCATTGATATCTTTCTTTTATTGATATCTTTTAATGATTATCTATCATTGAACAGTTTTTAATATAATGATTTGTTTAACGAGATAAGAAAATGAATATTCGCCTTTTATTTCATTGAACATTCAGAAAATAGTTTCTCGAAGTTTCTCTCAAGGTTTTATCTTTTGTCTGAGATCCTGCGGTATCAGTTACATCCTTAATAGGAAGAGGACATAATCATTTCCCTTCTTTTTTTGAGAACAGAAACACAACTCTTTCTTGAAATAATACAAAATGTCGTAAGAATCATTATGCAAAAATAAATGCAAGCCATAATTCAAAGAGTATCAAATGTCTGATATACATTTCTAATACATTAACATAATGAATAATATTGTGTAATTATACTATCTTTAATGAATGCATTTCCAAAGATTTTTTTCCCTTCAATTAGGATTTTTTTACATTAAGACTGAGTTATTTTCAAGAGAAAAAAAATATTAAGTGCAATTTATTAGCATAAGAGATAGTACATAGATAATATCTTTACAATGTAAAAGTTAAATGATATTATAATTTGTCGAAAGTATTCAACTTTAGGAAATGTAAAATGTCAGAAGAACTTAAATCTGATAGATATATAGTTTATAATTTTTATTTAGTATTTTAATTATATTTGTATCAGCACGTTTTAAGAGTCTAGCTTGTGGCTTAATCAAAAGAAAAAAGGGGTAAAAAATCAATTTAATACTTTGTCTATGAATAAAGCAAAAATAATTTTAAAAAATACAAAGGAAGCTCAAATAAAAGTTTGTTAAAGGATTTATTCACGATATTTCACTTCATTCACGATGTTTCGCTTTATTCATACGTATAATACAAATTATACTCTGTTCTCATTTGGATGCTTCGTGTGTACGCAAAAAAGGCGAAGGAACATTTATAGAATATTTAATATCAGGATGTATCAAACGCGAATGAAAATCTTTACTGCTCCATAACTATACAATCTATTCAGTAATGACCTCTCCAGCATAGTATATATTTAGAATCCTTGTCGAACCTGAAGTAAAAAAAGTACACACAAAGGAACGAAAAAACCTATCATTGAAATTCGTCGAATTATTTGGGAAAAAGGTTGAATGAAAAGCAACAAAATCAAGTTGATTGCCTCTTAAAACTTGAAGGTGTTTCTATTAATCATTTTTCACCTTTACTCTGTTTTCTCCGGCAATCATCCAAGCTTATATGTTTGAAGTCCCGCCTACCTCAGTAGTAATTCGCTGGATTTCGATAGTGTTTTAATTTTCTTTTCATAACTTTAATATTAATTATTAACTTCTAATGTGTCCACTCCTTTTTTTATTTCGATTTTGAGAAGGATTCTAAAAATATCTATTGAGACTGCTCATTTCCTAACATCCTGTATAAAATGACAACACTTAATATATATTAATAATACAAAGGCATGTTTTTTTTTCAAACTGTAGTATATATGAATAGCAAAACTTATTCACTACTTCATGCATCGTAGAATCGAAGTTTGGAAGATTGTACATAAAAAAACATACGTTTACAAAAAGAAACGAGAGTTGAGAGTTATATAATAAATAAACATATAAATTTTATTAATGGAAAATATTTAGTGCTTAGAAGCATCAAATTTTTAATTAAACTTAATTTCTCACAATAACTAAGTTTTTATTTCAACAGTAAGAACTAGTTTGAACAAATGATTTTTACAAAAACTTGTGTAATTAAATTAATTTCAACTTTTGAATGTATTTTTGAAACTATTTTAAGTAGCACTAATTAAATGTACGAAAATTGGAATAATCTTCAAAATATACCTAATCAAAATAAATTAAACCGAAAAATAATTTGAATTTAGTAACTCAGATGAGTTATATGCTCTAAAATATTTGATTAAACATTTTTAATAAACAGTTTTGATTAAATCATAAGTTATATACAGTATTTACCATAAATTCTCATTAAGTTTTAAACTGTGAATTCCGAGGCA